ATCAAGGGCCATAATTCAGGAAGTTATGATCCGATGTGCGCGAATATCGAAAAGGAACCAATATCTTTGGGTTATAAACATGTATTTCAAGATACCTCGAAATCAGATTAAAATTGTAACCTCTAGAGGGTCCACAGCCTTGATTTACCAGATGTTTACACTATTTGCATACGAGAGGCAGCCATTTTGTCCGGCAGTTTTGGCCTGATTTTCACAAAATTCGAACTCAACAACCATTACGGAGTAACGGTGATATATTTGAACGTTTTATTTTTAAATCGAATAATAATTGTGACCTAGGGGGACCACAAGCTAAAAACGCGATTTTGCATACAATCAGAGGCCATAATTCAGGAAGTTACAATCCGATATGCGCGAATATTGAAAGGAACCAAGATCTTTTGGTTATAAACTTGCATTTCAAGTTTCATCAAAATGGGATCAAAATTGTGGCCTCTAGAGGGTCCACAACTTTGATATACCAGATGTTTACACTATTTGCGTATGAGGGGCGGCCATTTTGTCCGGCAGTTTAGGTCTGATTTTCATGAAATTCAAACTCAACCATCCTTAGGATGTAACAGTGATATATTCGAACATTCTTTTAAATGGGATAATAGTTGTGAACTCTTAGAGGGACCACAAGCTGAAAACGCGATTTTTTGTACAATCAAGGGCCATAATTCAGGAAGTTATGATTCGATATGTATGAGAATAGGCAGGAACCGAGATCTGTGGGTTATAAACATGCATTTCAAGTTTCATTGAAATCAGATGAAAATTGTGACCTCCAGACAGGGCTCTATAAAAGTTGCGTGTGCCTGCACACACACTTGAAAATGTGCCTGCAGGGTCATACTGAAACACAGGGATGTAGCCAGGATTTGGCGAGTGGTGTAAAAATATATTTGGCAAGCGGAGCGAGGCCAAAAGAATTTTGGGAGGGGGGCGTGGTCTTATATGAAAATTAAACCCTTCTTGGTGTATTTTCAGAGCATCTGCTGCCTTTTGTATTTGGTTCAGTGCAAATCAAATTTTCATTTATATATTCAAATTTTACCAAATTCACTTAATTTTCATCAATGATACAGGGATCTAAAAACTTTTTGACACCACCCGACCGAGCATAAAATTGTCCCGCCCCACTCTGTTTCTCTGGATAGATAAGTTGAGGACCTTTCGGTATTTGTTGTTTTGTTGGTTTTTTTTTCAAATATTACTTTATTACTTTGAGATTAAAAATTAAAACGATTCTTAAAACGGTGTTTGTGTTTTATTTGAGTACAACGAATTATGACAACAGGTAGATATTGATAATTAAAACACGTTGTATTATTTGACTTGTTTGTAAAGTTGTTGTACGTGTCTTACGAATATTATTATTATTACGGTGGAATGAGAATCAGGTCAGGCAGAAACTGAGAAAGCTCTCATCGTCCTCCTAGTCCTACTCTCGGGCCGTAGCAAATCCACGGTCAACACAGGTAAGAAATAAAATAAAAAACATCGTGAAAATTTGCAGGCACGTGTTGGACAATTACGACATTCAAACCTTTAATATTGGAGTGCCGTAAATTGGTCTGGGTGACCTATTTATGGCAAATAAACAAATATAAAGACCGTAGAATAATTGTAAAATGAATAGATGTAGGCCTACACATCTTGTAAGTATAAATAAACAAAATACCAATACATCTTTCTTTAAACTAATTTGGGATGATAGGGTCTACTACGGCACACAAAAATAAATTATGCCGTGACAGACATGGTTTGCGTACGCCGAGTTTGTGTACAGAGAAGGATGAAGGGGTTTGAATACGACTGGGCGGCTTTCTTCGATTTTTTCTTTGTGCTGGGCGGCAAAAAATAGTGCCGGGCGCAGGCGCCGCCCGGCGTGGCTACATCTTTAAAAATGTGCCTGCAAAAAAGTTTTTTTAAAGCAAATGTGCCTGCGCATGTGCGCGCAAATATCGATGCCTGCCTCCAGAGGGTCCACAACCCTGATACACAATATTTTGACACTATTTGTGAACGAGGGGCGGCCATTTTGTCCGTCAGTTTCAGTCCAATTTTTACGAAATTTGAACTCAACCACCCTTAGGGTGTAACGGTGATATATTGTAATGGGTTTTTTTTAAATCGGATACAAATTGTGACCTCTATGGGGTCCACAAGCTAAAAACGTGATTTTTCGTACAATCAGGGGCTAATATTCAGGAAGTTATGGGTGAATATCGAAAGGAACCGAGATCTGTGGGTTATAAACATACATTTCAAGTTTAAACCAAATCAGATAAAAATTGTGACCTCTACAGTGTTCACAAGCTAAACAAGCCAACAGTGAGGCTGATGTCCCCCGCCGAAATTGCAAAATAAATAGATGACACATATTAATTAATCGCACATTTATTTTTTTCACTAAGTTTCATCACTCTCTATCAGATAGAATCAAGATTATCTTGTCCCAAACCATCGACAAATGAAATCGATTAGCTCTGCTTAGCTTCAGCTCGAAATGTTAATTATTGAACTCAGTCAAGACATTCACCTAATGAACATCTACATATACATCAAGTTTAAACATTCACCTAATAGACACCTATGCCAAGTTTGAACATTCTACCTCAATTAGAAGGAGAGTTATTGTGTTCCAAAGTTTCTACCAATCAAATTGCTTATCACTCTGCTTACCCTCAGCAAAAAATGTTCATTATCGAACTTAGTTAAGGTATTCATATAATAAATCTATACACCAAGTTTCATCAATCTCACTTAATTAGAACTAAAGTTATCGTGTCCCAAAGCATCAACCAATCAAATTGCTTATCTCTGCTTACCCTAAGCGGACAATGCTCATCTTCGAACTCCATCAAGGCATTGACCTAATCAACACATACACCAAGTTTGAACATTCTAGCTCAATTAGGAAGAGAGTTATCGTGCCCCAAAGTATCAACCAATCAAATTGCTTATCTCTGCTTACCCTAAGCGGAAAATGCTCATCTTCGAACTCCATGAAGGCATTGACCTAATAAACACATACACCAAGTTTGAACATTCTAGCTCAATTAAAAGTTATCGTGTCCCAAAGCATCAACCAATCAAATTGCTTATCTCTGCTTACCCTAAGCGGAAAATGCTCATCTTCGAACTCCATCAAGGCATTGACCTAATCAACACATACACCAAGTTTGAACATTCTAGCCCAATTAGGAAGAGAGTTATCGTGTCCCAAAGCATCAACCAATCAAATTGCTTATCTCTGCTTACCCTAAGCGGAAAATGCTCATCTTCGAACTCCATCAAGGCATTGACCTAATAAACACATACACCAAGTTTGAACATTCTAGCTCAATTAGGAAGAGAGTTATTGTGTCCCAAAAAGTGTGACGGACGGACGGACGGACGGACGGACGGACGGACGGACGGACGGACGGACGGACAGACAGACAGACAGACAGACAGACAGACAGACAGACAGACAGACAGACAGACAGACAGACAGACAGACAGACAGACGAACCCATTTTAATAGTCCCCTGCTTTCTTCGAAAGGCGGGGGACAAAAAGTGATTTTTCGTACAATCAAGGGCCATAATCCATGAAGTTATAGTCCGATACATGCCAATATCGAAAGGAACCAAGATCTTAGGGTGATAAACCTATATTTCAAGTTTCATTGAAATCGGATAAAAATTGTGACCTGTAGAGTGTTCACAAACAATTGTGGACGGACATCCGGATGGACAGGGGCGACGACAATATACGTCCATATGAAAATGTGGCCGTATAAAAAGGGTGTAAAATTAAGCAATTTACAACCCATTCAGGCTTTTCATATTTTAAAATATTTCTATGTATTATTCATAAACTTGTAGCTTGTACCTATACGAAGACAATCTAGGACGAAATTAGTTTGTAATATGAGCAATTGCCGAGAAATGAGCAACTTGCACGAGTCACTTTTCACATTATTTTGCCTGTAAAAAAAATTATGATTTGATCTTCATAAAAGTAACACCATTTGACGCATAAAGTAAATGTGCATTATATCAATTTAAACAGAATTTAAAGTTGACACCGGAAGTGCCACCATATTCTCCAAAACTGTATTTTTAAACTTCAAAACAGATATTTTATTCAAATGAGCCCTGTTTGTATCACAAAATGATTTCTAATTCGTTCAGTTGCGTAGAAATGGACGATTTTCTGCAAGTCACTTTTAACGGTTTTTGGTCCATGAAATTGTTAATTATTACTTGATTTTTATAAAATTTTCACCATTTGATGCCTAATGCCATTTGTGATTTCATAAAAAACAATTTCAAGAATTTATATTTACTAGAAATGACAACATTTTGACTAAAACTGTATTTTTAGCCTTCAAAATAAATATATTCTTAAAATGAATGTTATTCAATATTCCTTTAAAATTATATTTAACCAACATATAGAATGATTTAATACAATGCTATAGATATTGCTTCTAACCTCTTCCGTTGCCGGGAAATAAGGGTCACTTTTTAAGATTTTTTTTCGCATTTTAATTTCCCATTAGAAAGTCTCATCAGATAACTTAGCGGTAAATTAGTAACAAATTTTGTCAGGATCACTTTTTCAACATATGTAACACATGGTAACAAATGTATTAATGGAATTGATATTGCTGGATTTGGTTGATTCTGTGTCCATTTTATAACACGTGTACAATGCTTATGTGGAAATCTGTTGGAACGGTTTCATTGGTATTGGAAGTGACATAAGTTCATGGGTAACGTGGCATCAGAAGTGATGTAAGTTCAAGGGTAACGTGGCACCGGTGAAACCGGTCATTACTGCATCGCAGTTCTAGTTATACATGTAATTAGTGACCGTCTCAATAAGATGTATATATTAGATTTAGACAGAAGGACATTTATAACACTTTTCTGTACATAAACTTGTTAGACAAATATCCAGTAGCACTTATGGAAGTAACAATATACTAAAGTATAACATACCTTTAGGAGCTTCATCATCAAGTTTAACTTTTCTAAAATCATCAGCATATGGTAATATAATAACATGAAAACCAGGAGGTGTTATTTGTATTTTATGGTCATCTAGCTCTTCTTTCTAAACATAAAAAACAAGCAGTTGCCATGCAAGATACACCCACATTTCCAAATTTCCAATTGGTGGACAGTGAAAATCATTAGGGTTCATCCTGTCGTGGTCCCAATGACAACCAGCGGCCCGCAGGATACGCCCACATTTTCGAGAGATGGATAGAGAACAAGTTAAAAAGAAAGTGATTTTTCCTACAATCAAAGGCCATAATTCAGGAAGTTACGATCCGATATGTGCGAATATCGAAAGGAACCGAGATCTTTGGGTTATAAACTTACATTTCAAGTTTCAACAAAATCAGATAAAAATTTCGACCTCTATAGGGTCCACAACCTTGATATACCATATTTTTACGCTATTTGAGAAGAACGACGGCCATTTTGTCTATCAATTTTGGACCGATTTTCACGAAATTCGAACTCAGCCGCCCTTAGGGTGTAACGGTGATATAATAATACAGTTTTAAAAATCGGATAAAAATTATAACCTCTATAGGGCCCACAAGCTAAAAACGAGATTTTTCGTACAATCAGGCGCCATAATTCAGGAAGTTATGGTCTGATATGCGCGAATATCGAAAGGAACGAAGATCTTTGGGTTTTAAACTTACATTTCAAGTTTCAACAAAATCAGATTAAAATTGTGACCTCCATTGGGTCCACAACCTTGATATACCATAGTTTTACTCTATTTGAGAACGATGGGCGTCCATTTTGTCTGTCAATTTTGGGCCGATTTTCACGAAATTCAAACTCAGCCGTCCTTAGGGTGTAACAGTGATATAATAATACGTTTTTTTAAATCGGATAAAAATTATGACCTCTATAGGGTCCACAAGCTAAAAACACGATTTTTCGTACTATCAGGGGCCATAATTCAGGAAGTTACGGTCCGATATGCGCGAATATCGAAGGGAACCGAGATCTTTGGGTTATAAACTTTTCAAGTTTCGACAAAATCGGATAAAAATTGTGACCTCTTCAGTGTTCACAAGCTAAAAACGTGATTTTTTGTACAAACAGGGGCCATAATCCATGAAGTTTCGATCCGATACATTCCAATATCGAAAGCAGCCGAGATCTTTTGGAGATAAACCTATATTTCAAGTTTCGTCAAAATCGGATAATAATTGTGATCTGAAGAGTGTCCACAAACAAATTGTGGACGGACGGACGAATGGACGTCCGGACGGACAGGGGTGACAACAACATACGTCCACATGAAAATGTGGACGTATAAAAATCATTTAAGAACTATGCAGGCGTATTTAAACTGCTTAAGAGTAACAACCCATTAAGTAATTATTAAAAATCATTAGAATTTGTTTGGCTTCTACTTCTTCCCGATACTACCTGTATTATATACTGAGCGCCATGGAAAACGCATCACTTAGTTTTTCGTATAACAAAATGATCCTGTAAACATATCTTATTTATTTATGCTTCTTATTGGGAACAATATTCAAATGGGAACACATCAATAACAACACATTTGTACACTTATGGATGTTTAATCTGTAATCAACGGTACAAAGTCAGAGGGGTAAAACCAAAAGTACGACACAGATGTCAGTAGCGCTTGTGTCCTCCATGGCCTCTTATGCACACTGTGCAGCGACGTTGCATGGAATTTACCAATATTTGAAAGAAGGCCTGGGGCAAATTGTTCCATTCTTGGACAAGAGCAGCTTCTAAAGCAGCAATGGTGTGCATCTGTGGTCTCCGATACGACGGCGTCCAATCTCATCCCAGACATGTTCTATCGGTGCCATGTCCAGAGACATGGCTGGCCAGTCCAAGACATTGATGTTGTTAGCAGCCAGGTAGTCCATACTAAAACAAGCGGTATGCAGACGTGCATTATCCTGTTGGAAGTGCTGAAGTTGTGGAACATCGGAACAACAATTGGTTGCAAGACATCATCAAGGTAGGCTACAGCATTAACGCGACCCCTGCAAATGTGTAGGGCGGTCCGGTGATGAAACATGAAGCCTCCCCACACCATTACACTTCCCCCACCCCATCGATACGTTTCGAAGACGCAGCAGTCTGCAAGACGTTCCCCAAGACGTCTCCACAAACGTTGACGGCTATCAGCGTGATAAAGATGAAAGCGACTCTCATCACTGAAGAGCACACTTTGCCAGTCTACTCTTCTCCATGTCTGGTGTCTTTGAGCCCATATCAAACGCCGCTGACAGTGATGATCCCAGAGGATAGCTCCAACATAAGGTCGTCGTGCACGGAGTCCTACTTCTCTTAGACAACGTCTTACGGTGTTGGCACTTACTGGTCCTTGTCTTCCGATGACTGCTTTCACCTGTTCGAGTCGCTGGGCGGAATCTGTCACGCAGATGAGTGACCCAAATGTAGCGGTCTTGAGCCTGGGTTGTAACGCGTTGTGGACCAGGACGTTGACGGTCACGTGTTGATCCAGTAACTCGAACATGTTCCACCAACCTTACAATAGAGGACTGATAACAATTGAAGTGTCTGGCAATAGCACGTGTAGACATGCAACCCCTGGAGATTCCCATGGTTTCATTCCGTTGATTTTCAGTAAGTCTTGGCATCTCTAGCTCGATTTCTTCACACGTCCAACAATAAATTACGACAGATTGACGTTTCACAGTTCATGTACTGCACATTAAGTTGAAAACAGGCTTTTAAAGGGCTCACACACACAATGCTGCACGTGAATATTTGGGTTTTCATGTGTATCTCGTGCAATTTTTTTTGTGCAAAGGGGCCGATATTTTTTGCGTTTGAGAGCATTGTGTGAAAGAATAGTTCATAGTATTGCATAATATCATACATACAAAACCACCTAGTAATAAAATATTTGGGAAAAAAAAAGTGATGCGTTTTCCATGGCGCTCAGTATATATTATACGAAACATGTAATATGATGAATTTAGAACTTCAAGTTATTAGAAATCGCTGAAAATCGATTGCCTTTTTTATAGGGCCTTAAAGATCCTATGCGTGATTTGAGTGATATATGAATCCCTTTCTAACTACAATATTGTAAAAGTTAAATTTTTAATTGGAATATCAGTCCAAACATTCCATGCTGCTCCTTATGGACCAAATCTGTGGAACTTTCCACCATCTATGGTAGGCTGAACGGCAATTACAAGTCTTGTTTATTGTCGGACGACTTCATGATATTATAACATCCACACCACCATCTTAATGTGTGTTCGCGAAATTTGATTGATGGGCCTGTTTTTAATCCAACTGAATCCAAGCCGGGAGATTACCTAGAGTTGATATTTTGATTTTGTTTTCTTAATTAAATGTTAAATAATCAATCTGAGTACATATTAGCATGGATTAAGCCATGAGAAATTTGATATTTTGCAAGAAAATGCAAATCATGCACTGTTACTACAAACACTGTGTATAAATTTAAGGAGAAATGTGTGATAACTTTAGCCTCTAGATCAACAAGTGTCATAACTCTGGTAGTAATTATCGAATGCTTCAACAATCATGAATTTCACATACTACTATATTTTACTATATAGCTGTCAAACAGCATGATCCTCTCATTGCCTCTCAAAATGGAGAAAACAGTAAGCAGAGCTGTGATTAAGTAGCATATTCATGATGACCTAACACAAAGAATGCTCATTCGTACATGACATTAGCAAAACATCAGTGGAACGAATAATCCATGAACATTTGCACATAAGGTGTTTGCCCGTTGGGTGTCCAGAATGTTGACTGAAGAACAAAAAACGGCTGAGAGTCATGGTGACTCAACAGCTAATTGAGGACTATCTGAGAACCTACTTGTTTTCTTGTCCTATATTCTGGATAAAACCTGGGTTATCACTATGACCCTGAGACAAAAAGTCAAAGTATGCAGTATGTGACACCACTGATAGCCCAAAAATTCAAAAGAATATAGTATTACGAGTAAAATATCATATATACCTGTGGTAGTAAAGCAACAAATTTAGGTGGGTTGTTTTTTCGTGGTATATATTGACATATTGGTGTAACATCCCGGTCTAAACATTTCTTTAATAAAGCCGTAAACATTGTTGTACTACCAGCTATGGACTAAAAAAAAAAAAAACTAATACATTTTGTAGTCACCATTTTCTAAAATCAATATTTTTATCTGACCATAGCCTGCTTTGAATATTAAGGAACAGATAAGACTATGACAAGGTACAACAGAAGTTATTAGCTGTATGAACTTCTAACATGATCATTTTCATTTCAATAGCTACTTGTGCAATGTGTGTTGGGAGGGGGTAAGGGATTGATTTCCTGATCTGCAGTGTTTATGCGTACTCTTTTTCAGATGTATACATACATAAGTGTATCTCATATTTTGGGGGTACCATTTGAATGATAAAACACACTTTCCTTCTCAGCTCCGCAAACTCCACCCTTAAAAGTAATGACTGAGCTTAAACAAGCAGTTGCCATGCAAGATATGTCCACATTTTGCAAGAGATGGAAAGAAAATGAGCGAAAAATATAATGTGATTTAGTACAACCAGCGGCCATAATCCAAGAAGTTACACTGAGAACTACTAAGTGGTCAATCTGTGCACAGCCCTTATAGAAAATTATATCTTCGGCGTTATCTCTACGTCTATCGAAAGAAAATTAATTTTCCGACTATTACTCGGTATTACCGCGTTAAAACTGTAAATAAGGTGTGTTAATTAACGGGGGTGAAAACTGTCTGAGAGGTGAGTTAATTAACGCTAGGGGTGAAAAACTGTGCGACGGTGCATTTTCAGTAGAGGTGTGTTAATTAATGTGTATTATTTAATTGGCGTGTTTTCTCGCTAGTTGCGATAACTGCACCAAAAGGTGTATAATCAAGGACCAACAGGCTTTATCTGACACGTACGTGTTAAATCAAAATTTGGGAAGTAAAACTGTTTTACCGTGCGATTTATCATTCGACCGTGTGTTTTACGTAGGTCTTTGTATAATTAAAGACAGGTCTTTAGATAGGCGTGTGTGCTCGCGATGATCTACGTTTAACCCTTTTGTATTGCGTACTATAAGTTGCATTTAATGAATTAAAAATATGGACCATAATCTATCGTATACGGAAAGGATAATATAATGTTGTCATTTATAAAGACCGACCAGTCAGTGCCCAATTTGAATATCCACGGGAATATAGAGATTAAATCCAGCAACAACAACCGAACTATATTTCTGCTTTATTATTAAAAGACGCGCACTAACCGTTTGACATTTTTTAAATTTATAAAAACGTGCCATGATGCGTAAATTGTGCATCTTAACTTCAATAGCAATATCCATAAAACAAAAATCTCCATATTGATAAATATACTATTCAAAAAAAGTAGGGGATATTTGATTTTTAAGTGTTATTAAAGTCACCTAATGAAACTGACGAAGAAACAAATGACAAAATGAAATGAAGTTCACATTCATCGATTTATTCCAAATGATTGTTAGACTAAGTAAGGCACAGACTGACCATTATAAGGGTAAAATGATACCCGGGGTCAAACAGCAAAGTTACCACAGCATCACAACCAAGTCAGTAACGGGTAAATCCTCCTCTGTTTGCCAAACAAGCATTGATCCGACGTGGCATACTCCTAATGAGACGTCTAAGGTCATTTTGGTCCAGATTGTCCCATTCCTGTTGCAACGCAGCACCAAGTTCTTGGACATTGGCAGGACGTTGTTGACGTTGACGTAACCTCTGTCCAAGCATGTCCCAGACATGCTCGATGGGGGAGAGGTCGGGACTCAGTGCTGGCCAAGGTAATGTGGTGATGTTCTGTTGTTGGAGGTAACCTGTAACGATCCTGGCCCTGTGACATATGCGTTGTCATCCTGGAAGATGAAACGGCGGCCATGACGTCGTGCGAATGGCACAACATGGACTGCCAAGATGTTGTCCCGGTAGTACTGGCCTGTAACACGCCCTGCAACAACATGTAAAGCCGTTCTTCCAGCAACAGTGATGCCTCCCCACACCATAACAGAACCACCCCCAAATCGATCATGTCTGGTGACGTTAACGTCTTGGAAGCGCTCGTTTCGACGACGCCACACCCTCCTACGTCTGTCCAAAAAATCAACAGTGAACCTTGACTCATCTGAAAACATCACATTGCTCCAGCGTCGATTATCCCAGTGTTGACGATCCCTACACCAACGACGTCTTGCCTGAATGTGATGATCTCTCAAACAAGGGATCACGCGAGGACGTCGGGCGCGAAGGTGACCCCTATGCAGTCGATTCCGAATCGTCTGGCCACTCACTCTCACACCAGTGTCTGTTTGAAGACGAGCGCTGATCTGATTTGCTGTGATGACACGATTTCTCAAGGCCAAGGTACGGATAAATCGATCCTGGGCTTGAGTTGTCGCCCTTGGTCGACCTGAGCGTGGTCTGTCCTGTACAGATTGTGTATCACGGTATCTGGACCATAGCCTGCTTATGACAGACTGAGAAACATTCATCGTCCGCGCCACAACCGCCTGTGTTGTGCCGATCTGTAGCATGCCAAGGGCACGTGACCTTTCATTTTGGGTAAGCCGACGCATATCAAAATTTGTTTTCTGGTCACTAAAACAATTAAACTGATGTTTCCACCCTGGAATTCAATGCCACAATGACTGTAACATTCAAAGTCAGAGTCGTGCAAATCTTGGGTTGGACCCCCATGATGATCCCAAGCATCACCTGCATTCCATGCGGTAGCTATTGGTGCGTTTGGGCGTCACATGTAACTGGAAATGTTTCTTCTGTTAGGTTCTATAGTGACTTTTTTCGTAGTCATTTGCATATTTTAGTATTATGCCCCCAAAATCAAATATCCCCTACTTTTTTTGAATAGTATAATACGGCACAACCAACCGAACAGTAGTAATTTCCACACAAATGATACATTTAAACTTAAATTACTTAAGCTTTTCACTAAATTTATATCGCATACAATCCAACGATCCTCATTCCAGAACTTGTAATTTATAATAGCCGCTTTTATGCAATTACAGAATTGTCCCGTGATCTAACATATCAAAGAAGCACATACGCCCGATATGACATGTAATCATTTTTTGGAGACATGTCTTCTATTCTTATGACTATACTTGGCGTTTATACTGCGTACCATATAGTCACGCTATTTAAAAATTTGCTTTAAATGAAATAAAAATATTGACCTTAATCTATCGCACGAAATGCAATGTCGTCATTTATAAATATGGAACAGGTAGAAATAATTTAAATATCCCCGTGTATATAGTGAATAAGCCAAATTTGCCGTATGTAAATATACTTATTCTCGTACATATACTATTCTCGTAAATATAATTATTCTCGTCTTCCGACAAGTTATCATTTGTGTTTTCAAATTTGTACCATTCAAATGTCAACCCAACCATTTCAGATTTCACGTCTAACCGTTTCACCCATAGTCCGTGCAGAGCAATAACATCCCTTTGATCAAAGTAACAATTCTATCACATGTAAAGGCGTGCGCGAGCTTATTCGCGCGTATTGGAAAACTGTTCGGTTGCTTTATTTGAGATGATACTGATATTACACTATAAACTTTGTCAATTTTTTCTTTGAAAATTCTGACAAATTGGTAGCTCTTCGGGAAGGTTGATCATATCGCTTACCCTGTTTGTGTATTGTACGTTTTTATAATAGCTAGCAAATAATTTATGATATCTGAATACTTTCTGAAAGAACATATAGCTCATTATTAGATGTTAGTTTTTAATAGGCTATTTTTTTTTAAGATAGTCGGATATCAATCACAGATATCAAATATAAATCACATTAATTAGATGAACAGCCTAACGCAGTTTTGAAATGAAATGAAATTGGGTTTAACATCCTACTGTTCTGCTCTGAACTGGGCTAATGAAGACGGGCATACGCCATACAGTGTGCTATAAGGGAAATTTTGCCCGGACAGTGGCACTACGGCCTATTCTTATACGCCATACAGTGTGCTATAAGGGAAATTTTGCCCGGACAGCGGCACTACGGCCTATTCTTATATCGAACACCTACTGCTAAGGGATCTTTTACGTGCACGCCAATTGAAGGTAAGATGCACAATTTACGCATCGTGGCACATTTTTATAAATTTAATAAATGTCAAACGGTGAGTGCGCGTCTTTTAATAATAAAGCAGAAATATAGTTCGGTTGTTGTTGCTGGATTTACTCTCTATATTCCCGTGGATATTCAAATTGGGCGCTGACTGGTCGGTATTTATAAATGACAACATTATATTCGCCTTTCCATATACGATAGGGTTAAACGTAGATCATAGCAAGCACACACGCCTATCTAAAGACCTGTCTTTAAAAGACCTACGTAAAACAGATGGTTGAATGATAAATCGCACGGTAAAACAGTTTTACTTCCCAAATTTTGATTTAACACGTACGTGTCAGCTAAAGCCTGTTGGTCCTTGATTATACTCCTTTTGGTGCAGTTATCGCAACTAGCGAGAAAACACGCCAATTAAACAATACACAACATTGACATTCATTTTTTACCGGTCGGTTAATTAACACACCTCTACTGAAAACGCACCGTCGCACAGTTTTTCACCCCTAGCGTTAATTAACTCACCTCTCCTACAGTTTTTCACCCCTAGCGTTAATTAACTCACCTCTCCTACAGTTTTTCACCCTCGTTAATTAACACACCTTATTTACAGTTTTAACGCGGTAATACCGAGTAATAGTCGGAAAATTAATTTTCTTTCGATAGACGTAGAGATAATGCCGAAGACATAATTTTCTATAAGGGCTGTGTACAGTTTAACCACTTTGTAGTTCTCAGTGTTACAATCCGATATGTGCGAATATCGAAAGGAAATGCGATATAAACATACATTTCAAGTTTCATCAAAATCAGATCAAAATTGTGACCTCTTGAGGGTCCACAGCCTTGATATGCTAAACTGCTCTTCGAATCCAATCAACTGTCATATTAAATAAAAAAAAAACAGCATAGAAATTACGTAAATCTTCAACAACGTACGTGTTGGGTGAAAGATAGGTTGCCAGGCAACAAAACATACGCCCCACAGCAGCTAAGTTATCCGAGTTGTCGCATATTTTTTCTATTGTCGGTAATGAAACATTTATAATACACTCAAATCTGATTAAGAGTAACAACTCATTAGGTAATTATCATAAAATCATTAGAATTTGTTTGCCTTTTAGTTCTGCCCCTTGCTAACGTTTAATATACGAAACATTCAATATCATGGATTTAGCTGTTCAAGTTATCAAACTCTGTTTATCAATCTAAAGTCAATCAGATGATAACATTGGTCTCTAGAGCATCCACAAGATTTTTCAAAGTGATCTAGGGCCGTAAATTGTAGAGTAGAGTCTGTAGAGTGTTCACAAGAAATTGTGGACGACGGATGGATGGACGGACGGACGGACAGACGGCAATATAATGCATTATAATTTTTTTATAGCAGTATTAAGGCCTTGTGGGAATTGTAGAAATAAAATCTAGAGATTAGTTCACTTGGTTACTGAACCAGCGGCTGTCAGGCAGGATACGCCCACATTTTGCAAGAGATTGATAGAGAACAAGTTAAAAACAAACAGGATTTTTTGTACAATCAGGGCAATAATCCAGAAAGTTATGGTCTGAAATGCACAAATATCAAAAGGGACCTCTATAGGGTCCACAACCTTGATATACCATATTTTTACGCTATTTGAGAACGAGGGGCGGCCATTTAGTCTGTCAGTTTTGGGCCGATTTTCACGAGATTCGAACTCAGCCGTCCTTAGGGTGTAACGGTGATATAATAATATGATTTTTTAAATCAGATAAAAATTATGACCTCTCTAGGGTCCACAAGCTAAAAACGCTATTTTCATACAATAAGGGGCCATAATTCAGGACGATATGCGCGAATACCATAAGGAACCGAGATCTTTGGGTTATAAACTTACATTTCAAGTTTCAACAAAATCGGATAAAAATTGTGACCTCTATAGGGTCCACAACCTTGATATACCATATTTTTATGCTATTTGAGAACGAACGGCGGCCATTTTGTCTGTCAGTTTTGGGCCGATTTTCACGAAATTCGAACTCAGTCGTCCTTAGGGTGTAACGGTGATATAATAATTTTAGGTAAACACTAAAAGAAGGGAGATGTAGCATGTGATCTCATTATAGTATCATGTGACCTTATTAAAATACATGTTCTACTTACGTAAGTAGTCTGTACAATATGGCCGCTAGTTTTCTTTTGAAGTCACTCGTCTTGTTATGCTCAGACCTCGTTACTAGAATAAGACCAAAGTGATACATGTCCGCAAACAAATTGTGGATGGATGGACACTGATGGACGTACGGATAGGCGACAACAAAACACGTCCACATGAACATGTGGGCATATAAAAATCTGCAAGGTTCTTCTCAGCACCCATCACGATTTGATACTTGGGACATTCTAGTGAAGAGGCCTGTGCAGCCCCTTATCTAATTAAAATACATGTTCTACTTACATAAGTAGTCTGTACAATATGGCCGCTAGTTTTCTTTTGAAGTCACTCGTCTTGTTATGCTCAGACCTCGTTACTAGAATAAGACCAAAGTGATACATGTCCGCAAACAAATTGTGGATGGATGGACACTGATGGACGTACGGACAGGCGACAACAAAACACGTCCACATGAACATGTGGGCATATAAAAATCTGCAAGGTTCTTCTCAGCACCCATCACGATTTGATACTTGGGACATTCTAGTGAAGAGGCCTGTGCAGCCCCTTATCTAGTTAAGAAGTCAAGAAAGTTAATTTAGTGTAAAGATTGTACTCACATCTTCATCGGGATAAATAAACTGTCCTGGTTTCACTTGATAATATTTCTTTAGTTTACTTCTAGGTTTGAAACCCATTAACTTTAATCCTGTACAATCAGTATGAAAGATGGAAATTTAAAATCTCTATCAACCATAAACTTATTTATGCAAATAGTCTTAATTGCTCTATTTGAACATTCTAGCTCAATTAGCAGGAGAGTTATTATGTTCCAAAGTCTGCCCAATTAAATTGCTTATCACTCTGCTTGCCCTGAGCAGAAAATGCTCATTATTGAACTTAGTCAGGTATTGATGTAATGAAACTATACACTAAGTTTCATCACTCTCACTTAATTAGAACTAAAGTTATCATGTCCCAAAGCATCAACCAATCAAATTGCTTATCTCTGCTTACCCTAAGTAGAAAATGTTCATCTTCGAACTCCATCAAGGCATGGCCTAATAAACACTTACACCCAGTTTGAACATTCTAGCTCAATCAGAAGGAGAGTTATTGTGTTCCAAAGTCTCAGCCAATCAAATTGCTTATAGCTCTGCTTACCCTGAGCAAAAAATGCTCATTAGCTCAATTAGAAAGAGAGTTATAGTGTCCCAAAAAGTGTGCCAAACAGACGGACGGACGGACGGAGGGACAGACGAACCCATTTAAAAGTGGGTGAATCATTTGATCATTGTGATAGCTTTATAAGAGATAGGCAGTCTTAGTGATCAGTTAAGTACTATGTCACTTTAAATATAAATGACACTTTAGTAAAGTTTACATTTAGACACTGGAGCAAAATGTAACGTTATGCCAAAATCCCTGTTTGATAAATTAGCAAAAGGGTCGCTATCAAAAACAAGGGTAAAACTAAATGCCTTTGGGGGACATCAGCTGACGTAATTAGCTCAAAATGTTTTTGTTTGTCAGTATAAACAAAAATATCATGCATTAGAATTTCAAGTGGTAGAATCAGATGTGCCATATATTCTTGGTTTGAAGTTGTGTGTTGAGTTGGGTTTGGTACAGCGAATATACAATATTACGAATAAACCCAAGGTTCCTTTAAATAAATGTGAGAAACTTTTACATGAATATTCTGATGTGTTCGGAGGACTAGGCTGTATTAAAGATATCAAACATCATATAGTTACAGATCCAGCAGTAAATCCAGTTGCTATAAGACCCAAATTAGAGATGAATTGGATAGGATGGAAAATTTGGGAGTTATTTCAAAAGTTAAAGGTCCATCCGATTGGGTAAATAGTTTAGTGACGGTTGTTAAGCCAAATAATACACTTTGTTTATGTATTGATCCTAAAGATTTGAAGAAAGTCGTTAAGCGTGAGCATTTTCCTATGAGAACTGTTGAAGAAATAGTTTCGCGAATGCCCCATGCTGCTGTTTTCTCGAAGTTAGATGCGACTCAAGGTTACTGGCAAATTCAATTAGGTAGCGAAAGCTCTAAAAAATGTACATTTAACACACCCTTTGTGGACGGTACCAATTCAATTGTCTACCATTTGGTATAGTTTGCCATCTGAAGTTTTCCAATGTGCTATGTGTGGAATATTTGAAAACATAGATGGAGGTTGAAGTCATAGTTGACGATATTTTACTTTGGGGTGAAACTAATGAGGAACATAATTCTAGACTTAATTATAGAAAGAGCTCGTGACGTGAGCCTTATATTAAATAAAAACAAATGTAAATTTGAACAAAGTCTAATTTTGTATATTGGACATTTGTTAACTAAAGATCTAAGAAGTTAGACGCGATTAACCAGATGGACAATCCAGTTGATAAACCATCGTTACAGAGATTTTTAGGAATGGTAACATATCTTGCAAAGTTTATTCCTAATTATTCAAAGATCGCTGCACCTTTTCGTTTATTACTAGAAAAAGATGTTGAATGGCAGTTTAATTCTGAACAAATCAATACTTTTGAAAAATTAAAATATTTAGTTTTGCACGCACCAGTACTACAATATTTCGATGTAGAAAAATCTGTGGCGCTTTCCATTGGTGCGAGTTCAAATGGTTTAGGGGCAGTTTTACGTCAAGACATTAAACCGATCGCATATGTATCAAAATCGTTAAGTAAGTCCCACATACTACTCTTATATCGAATTCCAACTGTCAAGGGATCTTTTACGTGCACGCCAATGTGTACACAGGAACTTGTTTTTTTGCCCCATCCGAATGACTAGACAGCTGTCCTTGTCAGGCCCTCCGTCCTGCATCAGTGACAAGGGGGAACCACGTCGGAAAATCTAGACGTACTTTCTCGGCCAATGCAGGAATCGAACACCCGACCTCCAGGCTAGTGAACCAGCGTCTTACCCACTGTGACCCCCCCACACACTGTATGGCATATGACAGTCTTCATTAGCCTAGGACATTAAACTCATTTTATTTCATTTCATTCTTACAGTTCGAGCAGAACAGTGGGACATTAAACCCCATTTCATTTCATTTCTTGTGTTTCCATTATTGTGACAATCTTTTCCATGAGCAATGGCTCTATTAAAAGCTTTTATTTTATCTCGTCTACCGGTATCTTTTCTATCCCATTCTTCCCCTCTCCATTCCTGTTAACTAAACCACAACATTTTAAGATGGCTATCAACCACTGGGTCTGGAATATTGAAACGTAATGGATGTTCAATACTAATATTTTAAGGCATTATGTAAGATTTAGATAAGGAGCTGACCATTCTGACTATATTTCAAAACAGATAATGCAGCCGGATGACCAGCCAGTCTCCTTACGTAATACTTGGCATCGTTGTGAAGCTGTGAATCTCTAGTTTATAAAGGTGGCCAAAGTATTACTGATAATCCCAATTTTAACAAATACAAACAAGTTTTAAAACCCATACAATAAGTAAAAATTATCGTCCCAAACACCCCGCGCGGTTCATCAGGGTATCATGGCTGCGTTCATTATTCTATCTGGGGTTCAGATCCTGGTACCATTACGGTACCTGAAAATAACAGTAGACCTATCGTACATGCAAAACCGTATTTTACTTTAGTTGTATTACGAAGGTAACAGAATACAAGTATAGCTGTGACGGCTTCTTTGATAATCAAGAAACTAAACTCGATTACCCAGTCAACATTCTTAATCTCCTGAGCACTAACACCCTCTCCATTTTAATAACACAATATTTTATGATACAAACAAATAGGCAAATATTTTTAATAGTGTCTTTAATGATTTTTCAATTGAATACATAGTGATCACATCTTCCGAAGTGCATGATATTTTAACCTCCGTCTGCCTCAAAAACCCTATGCAGGAACTTAACAAAACTTTTCAATTTCTTAATCGACAACAGCACTTTTCCCAAATGTTGGAAACAAGCCAGCGTAGTAATCTTTGAGAAATGTATTTTTAAATATATTAACAATTTTCTTTTTAGTCATGATTTCAGAAGTAATGACTCCACAATATTCCAATTAGTTGACTTAAATGACCAAATTTGTCAGTCGCTTGATCACGGTAATGAAGTAAAGTCCATATTCTGTGATGTTAGTAAGGCATTTGACCGTGTTTAGCACAAGGGTCTCATCTATAAATTAAACTCTATTGGAATCCGGGGAAAACTACTAAGATTAATTGAAAATTACTTACAAAACCGTCAACAGTCAGTTATAATCCCTAGTCAAAGCTCTGATGACCTCAAGTTAAATTCTGGAGTACCACAAGGCTCGGTTCTCAGGCCTCTTCTATTTCTGATTTACGTGTGGAATAAATCCAAATATCCGTCCCTATACAAGGTAATCGATCAAATAGGATGCCAATCCCTTCTAAATGAAGACTTAAAGAAATTTAGTAACTGGTCAAAAAGTTGGAAAATTAACTTTAATCCGCACAAAACAAAGACTATTAAATTCTCGAGAAAACAAAACCCTACTCTTATTAATCTTTACTTTGACGGAACAGCACTAACTGATAGCAAAAAACACAAGCATCTAGGACTAGTAGGAGTTTATTTAAGTAGTAATTGTAATTAATTATATGGTAATCGAAGTTAGTAAATTTATAGATTATACGGTAATCAAAGTTAGTAAATTTATAGATTGTTTCAGAAGTTTAAAATATTGTTTAAGCAAATTTATAGATTAAACGGTAATCAAAGTTAGTAAATTTATAGATTGTTTCAGAAGTTTAAAATATTGTTTAAGCAGAAGGTCCCTTGAAACAATATACAAAGCATTTATACTACCGTTATTTGACTGTGGTGACATAATCTGGAATAATTGTACTAAACACAAAAGTACTGTACATGAAAACTTAAATCTTGATGCCCTTAGAACAATCACTGGATTAGTGAATCCGGGTTCACTTCGCTTGAAATTAGACGATATCGCCATAAACTAATTCTGTTTTACAAAATGGTGAATAAAATAACTCCAGGTTACTTGTCTATCCTAGTTCCTCCCAAATCCTTGTATGTAAACTCTTACGAAACTCAGAATTCACAACTATATAGAAATATAAGAAATATTCCTGCTAATACTACATTTTATAAAAACTCCTTTCTACCGTCCGTATTAAAAGACTGGAATAATTTACCTGAGCACACGAAAGTATGCCCTACTATAAAAATCTTTAAAGCACACTAAACCAATGATGATATATTACTACCTAAATATTTTTACACCGGAAAGCGTTCTTCTCAAATAATCCATACAAAACTGCGTCACAATAAAAGCAACTTAAACTACCATAAATTCACTATGCACTTAATGGACAACCCAGCTTGTTCCTGTGGCCATTATATAGAGGATACGGAACACTATTTGTTACACTGTCCAAATTTTACCAATGTTAGATTCCAAACTATAAATACATTACCAAATATTTTTATTAATTTATAAACTCTAAATAGTATAAATACCTTGCAAATGAATACGCACATTTATAATACAGTCCATAAATTTATACATGTACATTTATTCAAAAGACTCCAATAACCATCATAAAATGTTAGCTGAATTAATTACTTTCTCAGTTAATATACATCTGATGTCCTCATAGTCTCAGTGGTTTTATGCGCATGCGTGAGTTGAGCATTTATTCACTCTTGACTTG